TATATACACATATATATTCTGTGTGTATATATATATTTAAATATTTTTTTATTATTTAGTATTTAGTGAATCTGATCACACCATTCTTAATATTTTAGTTTTCCTTTTTCACTTAACAATAAGCATGATAATTTTCTCATTTCATTTGATGTTTTCATTACTAAATAATGTAAAATGCTTGCTAGTGTTTCATTATTTGGATTATAACAATTTATTTAGCCAATCTCTTACTTGAGAATATTTAGGTTGTTTTCTTTTTTTAAAATTATATTTATTATTTTATTGCTACATTAGAAATGAAAATAAACTGTGGGAAGTTGCAAACACATGCCATTTCATGAAGATTATGGAGCAATGGTGGCCCCCACTTTAGAAAGTGGCTTATTTTACCTAAGGGCACCTGGCTGGCTCAGTGGGTGGAGGATGGGACTCTCTATCTCCGGGTCATGAGTTCAAGCTCCACACTGGGGCTTTTTTTTTTTTTAAGTGGCTTATACTGTAGGGGGTGAAAGGACTTCTTACACAAAGGTCATCAATGGTGAGATTATTGACAGCATTTACCAGGTGGAGTTTATGCACCAAAGGAAAGTTTAAAAATGAACATAAGGGAACATTGGCTACTTCTGACCTCCTAGCCAGGGACTATGGGTGAAAAGACAACAGAAGGTGCCTAAAATCTCTACAAACACATAGGTTTACAAAAAACAAGTAAAAAACCAGATACTCAGGCAATGCTGAAATTTGCTCTTGAGGGAAGATTCCCATTTTATAGTGTTTGAACACTTTCTTCTACTGGATAGTTTCCTTTGAGGGCAAAGTTTGTTTTTTTGTTGTTCAGTTTTAGTTTTCTTCAGTTTTGACCTGTCAGACTTTACTTCAGACAGTCAGGCTTATCACTCATCTTGACTAAAAGAAAGACTGAAGGTTTGAAAATCACCAAAGGGCCACTGTTGGACTAAATAGGCTCCGCACCCTGAAGGAGGTTAGCCTACCACGCAGAACCTTCTAGATTATTTTCAAATCACTTCTGGTTATTTCCATATGGAAATTTATAGAAATACAATTGCCAAGGGAAGAATATGCATAATTTTAGGGGTTTTGATGCATATTGAAAATTATCTTCCAGAAAAGTGGAATCCAATTACATTACTTTTTTTTTTTTTTTTAAGATTTTATTTATTTATTTGACAGAGAGAGAGATAGCGAGAGCAGGAACACAAGCAGAGGAAGTGGGAGAGGGAGAAACAGGCTTCCCGCTGAGCAGGGAGCCCGACATGGGGCTTGATCCCAGGACCCTGGGATCATGACCTGAGCCAAAGGCAGACACTTAACAACTGAGCCACCCAGGCACCCCCAATTACATTACTCTTATCAAATATTAGTGCCCATTTTCCACAAGCTCACAGATCATGACTATTATAAACCATTTTATCTTTTAGGAAAGAGTCAAAACAAAATATTTTAATTTTCATTTCAATTTTAAGTAGATTATACATTATATTAGTCATTTGTATTTCTCCTTTTGGAAATTTTCCTCTTTGCTTGTTTTCTGTGATAGTATCCTTTTCTACTGTTTTCATTATTCTTAGGAAACAAAACCTTCTCAACTGTGATTTGTCTTTCAGTTTTTTTACATTGCCAAATGTATTTATTTTATTTAGAGTCAAGTTTAAAAAAGCATTTACCACCTGATGATCATCTATTTATATATATCCATCTATTTATATATATTTCAAAAGTTATTTAGTGTGGAATTATTTAAGTATACAGTGTAAAGTAGGGACATAGCTTTTTCTCAGAAAATCACATTGTGAAGATCCAATGTTAGTCACAGAAGACAACAAAACTGCAATGAGCTCTGCTTACTTTGGTCTGCTCGAGGCCTCTGAGGCTCTCCTTCAAACCAAATTATGCCTTGTGTATAGGCCTCATTTCTTGGAGCAGGAGTAGGAGGAGCAATTGTTGAGCTCCAGAAATAGAGTATGTCTATACAGTTTGGGGGACTCAATCAGGTACAGTGAAGCTTTCCACGTGATGGCCCTGGTAGTTTTCCTGTTTGTCATCTCTATCTTGAAGAAATAAAAATCTGTGCTTTTTATAGTGCAGCAGGACAAGTAGAATTGCAATAGCTTAATTTTTTTAAAGAACACATCTATTCAATAAAATGTTTATAGTATCAAGAGGCAAAGGTATCTGTGTACCTGAAGTACGTTGAAAATCAGTGATTTGTTTTCCAATAACTTCCTTCCAAATGAGGCTTAGAGGGGTCCAACGTCTGAAACAACTTTGGACAACAATAATTAAGATTAACCCTTTCTGAGTCTAGATGGCACATTATTTTCTTTCTTAGATTTAGTTTTTATGTTTATCAAAACACGTTCATAGAATAAAGAGTCAAACACTGACAATAACAAAAGTGGTAGCCTTTTTGCCAAACATTTCTGGTTCTCTCCACTTTTGAATCCATGATAGAATTGCATGTTTTTGGTTCCCTTATAAGTTGAGTGGAGCCAATGAGTTGTAAGCAGAAATAGGGTGTGTCACTTCCAGGTTAGAGCATTTGATTATGAAAGTGAGACTCTCCAGAGCTTTATTCACTATGATACAGTGCCTGGCAACATTTAACACAGTAGTAGCTGCTCCATTAGCCTGAGTCTATGGGAATACAATGAACAGAGGCTGCTGCTGTCAGCAATGGACATTTAATGTAAGCAAGAAATAAACATTTGTGTTTATAGTCACTGAGATTTTGAGATTTTTTTTTTGCAACATAACCTCATCTATCCTAATTGATATAATGATAGTAATGCATTAATTATTTTTTTATTTTGTGTTATTTATCACAACTCTTCAATTATGTTAATTTACTTTCATTATTTTATGTTAACTTATATTACTTATTTATATTTATTAGCTTATTATGATAATTATTATAAGAGCAAACACATAGTTCTTACGATGTGCCAAGCACTATTCTAGTGCTTTACATACAGTTCTTGATTTAATCTTTAAAGTTATTCACTGAGATAAGTACTATTATTATCCCCATTTTATACATGATTAAACTGAGGAACAAGGAGGTTGAGTAACTTGTTCAAGTAAGTGGTAGAACTGAATTTTGAACCCAGGCAGTTCTTCACAGAGACCAACTTTGGCCAACAAACCTGAAAGCCTAGAAGTGTTGGTGTGGAGGCTTAGCTAGAGAAGAATTCACTTCTAGGCTTTCAGGTTTGTTGGCCAAATTGCTTTGTCACTGTATGACAGAGGATCTGGCTTTTCGCTGGCTTGGCTGGTGTAAGCCTCTCTGGTCCAAGAGGCTACTTGCAATTCCTTGTCATGTCAACCTTTCCATGGCCATTCACAACCTGGAAGCTGATTTCTTCAAGGTCAGCAGGAGAGTCTCTCTAGGGCATGCTAGCAAGATGAAGATATATATGTGTATGTATATCATAATGTGACATTGAATTATCGAGTTAACATTGGAGTGACTTCTTATTACCTTTACCATATTACTTAACTTACTTATGGAAGTGTCAGCCCATCATCCTTGCCATATGATGTATTCTAATCATGGGAGTAACATCCCATCACCTTTGCTGTACTCTATTTGTTAGAAGCAGGTCAACATCCCACTCACACTCAAAGATGGGGATTATATGGTGTGAAGCACTGGACGGTGGTCAACCTAGGGTCTGTCCACTATAAATGGCAAGAGAAAATGGAAGTGGAAGGACAAATAGAAAATACCCATGATATTTTCCAAATAATATATGTACAGAACTCTATAAAAAGGGAAAAGACATTCAAAGGAATAAAAAGAGGCCTTGGATATTAAGCATATGATTGAAGTTTTAAAAATTAAATCACATTAATTTCTAATTAAATTTTAAATTTAATTTTTTACATTTTTTAAGTTAAAATATGATTGCAGAAAGTTTTTTTAAAGCCTCTATCATATTTTTTAATATCCAAGGGCCTTTTTTTTTAATATTCCTTCTCCTTTTTACAGAATTCTGTGCATGTATTATGGATATATTGCTTCCTTTTATCTCAAAGTATTTTAACAATGGTTATATTTTTCAATGTTTCTCCTTCCTGCATAGCTTTGTTTTTTTTAAGTTTCTTTTATTTGTTTTTCTGGGTTTCAACCTTCCATGTTAGGTGCTTGCCTCCAAGATCTAGTGATTGTTAACTATTGACTTGTATTTAAGAATGTGGAATTAAAAAGCTGAGTGGTAGCTCTGTGATTGTGGATGGGGTTTGCCTACTGGATTCTTCTCCGTAAGATGACCTCACTGGGTGCTTTCATGCCCCTTCAACTGTTAGCATTTTGGGATCCATTTTCTTGCACTGGTCAGTTCCAGAAAAGACTCTTTCAATCATGTGTGTGGAGGGCTTATGTTTAGCTGTACACTTTTGGGGTGCTTAGAGATGGGAGAAGCCTAGAGACCTCAAGATTAAGTGAGGAAATGTACACTGGATCCCTGAACTGTACCTGGTATCCCCCTGCTCAGAGAATAAACCTCTAGTCTCTTCAGCTGAGTGGAATGCAGGAGGGAATCTGACAAATTAACCGCATTCAATAACGTCCCCCAACTCTAGCCCCACCTTCATCTCCACTTCCAGAGGTAGGAGTGCTGCCAGTTCCTGAAACTCTTCAGGTTTCCTGGGCATAAATCATATTGCCTCTCAGCTTTTCCCACTAACAGCTTAAGGGGCTGTTTTCTCAAATCTGCAAGGTCAGTTACCACTCATCCACATGTTTTCCAGCTTCTGAAGTTGCTGTTGCTGCCTTCTTTCCCATTCTCTCTGTCTTTGTAATTTGTCTGTTTAAAAACAAACAACTCAACAGGTTTCAGGGAAGAATTGAATGCAAATGTGTATATTCAAGTCACCCTTTTTAACCTGAAGTGATGGCTCTCAATTTACATTATTGATTTTATACAGTATCAAATTTTATATTCTGCCATATTTCTGATAATTTCATTTTTTTTCTCTAGGAATGACAAGATGTTACACTGGGATATCATCATTTCCTACCCTCCCCCCCATCTCACCCTCTGTCTGAACCAAACTTCTAACATGCTCAAAGAGTCATCTTTCTCAAACCCACCCCCATACTGAGGAACATACTCTCCCCTTTCTGACCAACAAAGGATTATTGGGATCTACAGCTTGTGTATCAGGTATCTTACTACATTGAAGACAGCTGGTCCTTTAAAGGAGGGTTTAGACATGCATGCAGTATGGAGAAATGGCAAAAGCAAATACCCTCTTGTTTAGGATCAGAAGAGCTAACTTTGAGTACTGGGTCTTCTCTGAGTCTAATTTTTCATTCATAAAAGAGAATAATACTATTTACTTCACAAGGTTGCTGTGAAGTTTCAAAGGATAATACATACAAAGTATGTAGCAAAGGTAGATTATAAATTTAGGATGGTAGATTAAAACTGTACCAGAAAAATATGTCCCTTAGAGGAAAAAAAATCCACCACAACAACCAAAGAATAATATGGTCAGTAAACTGGGGCGCCTGGGTGGCTCAGTTGTTAAGCGTCTGCCTTCGGCTCAGGTCATGATCCCAGGGTCCTGGGATCAAGCCCCACATCGGGCTCCCTGCTCCGTGGGAAGCCTGCTTCTCCCTCTCCCACTCCCCCTGTTTGTATTCCCTCTCTCACTGTGTGTCTCTCTGTCAAATAAATAAATAAATAAATAAATAAATAAATAAATAAATAAATAAATAAATAAATAAAATCTTTAAAAAAAAAATATGGTCAGTAAACTTCAAAATATAGCAACTGTGAATAAGAACCGCATTCTGAAAAGCTTTGACTCCCGAACAACCACCCTCCTATCCTGTTTAAAGACCAGTTTGGTAACTAAACTGAAATGAGCCGAAGCCTGAGAGTGTCTCTCACAAAACATGAATGGAAAATCTCCCCCAAGTAAGCCCTATGGAAAGCATTTGATAAGGTCTCAGAAGACAGGTGATAGATCAGGGTCAAGATAGTGAATGGTAGCAGTGGTAGCCTGAAAGATGATTAAATTTGGGGTATAATTTGAAGGTAGAGCCTACAAGATTGGCTGTATGAGAGAAACAGTGCAGTCAAGGATAATCCCAAGTTCTTTTGGTGTGAAGAACTGAAAATATGGAATTGCCAATAGTGGAGTTAGGGAGGATTATAGGAGAGTAGGTTTAGGTCGGTGTGTGGGAGAGATAAGAAGCTGAGTTTTGGACATGTTTGAGACACCTATTAGACATTTAAGTAGAGTTGTCAAGTCAATTAAGCAGTTGGATATGGAAGTGGTCTGGGCTAGAGATATAAATTTGACAAGCATCAGAATATATATATGTGTTTGTGTATATATGAAAGTGTGTGTGTCATGAGATTGAGTCAGTTTGTCATGAACTCAAAGAATAAGGGCAAAAAGAGAGGCACTCTGTACCTAAAGAAAGAAAGTGATAATTAAAATATTATGAAATTAATGGATAATTATAAAGGACAATGAACACAATAATAATTGCTGTAAATTGCTAATATAACAGAATTATTTAAGATGATAAAAAATACAGATAAAAAAAGGGATTAAAACAAGTAGGAGGGGCTAATTAATATGTATGCAAGACAAGATAATCCAACATATGGATAATCAATTTCCTAACAGTAGAGAAGCCAAATAGAACAACTGAGCAATAATAGAAAGTATAAACATGTTTGCAGAATAAACTAACATTTGAATTGGACCGGTAAAGATTTTATACTTTGCTTGCTAGTTTGAGTAGTATACATAATTGACATTCCTAATGGAGAGCTTTCATTTATTTAAAGCACTACTTTTATGTCAGTATTCTACAGGGTCCAATTTGTTACAGGTAATACAGAAAAATCTAGTGCGTGTTCTTTTTTGTTTTGTTTTGGCTGAGAGTTCTCTGTAACCCACTTTAAAACCTATTTGCAAATGCCCATGTCATAAGTCTTGAAGCTAGTAGTGCTCTTGCATTTCTTTTTCTACCAGTTAACTATTGTGTTTACTCAGATTTAGTTTTGTCTTCAAACTGATCATGACAACTATGCAGTTATAGCAATCATCTCACTTAAGTGAATATGATATAAACCTATGAAATATGAAAGTAAAGGAGCCTTTTTTTCCCTCTGAAAACCAAGGTTGGGAGATCTCTGGTTTGGATATAAAAGGTTGTAAGAAACCATTGCTCTCTACCTAATTACCAAAAACAAGCTGGATAAGATTTAGAAACCACTGTAGAGCTGAGAACACAAAGAAACCTAAATTAACCATATTCCAGAAAATGACATGCCTTCATAGAAGAGAAGAGACACATGGCTGTTCTCATGCCTTTTGGAAAGCAGGGGTAGGAAGAATTTACCAGGGGTAAGGAAAAGGAGAAAACAAACTTTTAAAGAACTTTTAATGGCTACAAATGGGCAGATATCACAGGTTGGAATTACATGGAGCCACAGCGGCAGACAAATCAGCATCCACCCACCTCCTCTTCTCTGAGGTCTTCTGGCAGTGCTTGGGGTAGTAAACCAAAGCCTGAGAGCAGAGCAGGAGAGCTGGGAGAGTGCTAGGCAGGCAGCCAGAAGAGAACAAGGAATAGGGCAGGAGCACTGAAGAGACCCATTCAAGGCATTCTGCAATTTCAGTGACTGATGTTGATGAGTGAGGCCCGGAGATAAGAGAAAGCTTTCCAAGTCATTCTGGACCTTCACGGAGTATAAGCAGGTACCCTTTGAAGTTAGCAGCAGGGCAAGAGGGAGGAGAGAGATTTCAGGTTCATAAATCCTGAAGCAGGACCAGAGAGCAAAGAGAACTTCCAAGCAATTCCAAAATCTGACATTCTTACTGTAAGCAGAGAGAGAGAGAGAAAGAGAGTTCCCATAGTTCAGAAAGCTTAAATCATTGTTCTAAGGCATAAAGAGATCTCAGGAGTACCCATCAGTGCTCAGAGCCTTTTTTCCTACTGATAGAAAAATCTCAATCTCATCCTCAAAACATTTATTTTTTTAAAAGATTTAAAAGATTTTATTTATTTATTTGACAGAGAGAGAAAGTGAGGGAGCACAAGCATGGGGAGCAGCAGAGGGAGAGGGAGAAGCAGACTCCCCGCCGAGCAGGGAGCCAGATGCAGGGCTCGATCCCAGGACCCTGAGGTCATGACCCGAGCGGAAGGCAGATGCTTAACTGACTGAGCCACCCAAGCACCCCTCATCCTCAAAACATTTAAAGCCAGTTGTGAATTGAATCAAACTAACGCTGCAAAAAAGACCAGATCCACCTCGACCACAACTCAGAATCACTCAGCACCCTGTCCGCACTCAAGCATTTTCGCAGGAAAAAGAGTGTGCGCTCTTTTCTGGAGGCAAATATTATTTACTTTATTCTCTATTATTCTTTTAGGAAAAAAATATCTGGAATAAAATAGAATTTTACAAGATACAGAAGCAAGAAAATGTGCTTAAGAGAGGAAGCAGTCAGTAGAAGCAGACTCAGAGATGAGCCAGCTGTTGGAATTATCGGATCAGAACTTTACATAACAATTATTCAAATACTAAAGGATCTCATGAAAAAGGTGAAAAACATGCTTGAAGAGATGAGAAATATAAGCATGACATAGGAACTATAAAATAGAGCCACAGCTGGGGCGCCTGGGTGGCTCAGTCGTTAAGCGCCTGCCTTCGGGTCATGATCCCAGGGTCCTGGGATCGAGCCCTGCATCGGGCTCCCTGCTCGGCAGGAAGCCTGTCTCTCCCTCTGCCACTCCCCCTGCTTGTGTTCCCTCTCTCGCTGTGTGTCTCTCTCTCTCAAATAAATAAATAAAATCTTTAAAAAAAAAAAATAGAGCCACAGCTAGGATAGAGGAGCGAAATCTGAGTTTTGTATGTGTATGGTGCTTGGCACTTAGATTTATGCCCAAACAATCCCATGCAGAGAGGGCCGTAAGTTAGAAAGAAGGAGAAGGAAGAGGAGAAGGAGGAATAGTGATGTTTGGTATGCTATGATGCCTAATAGAAGCAGCAGTGAAGGTCAGCGAATGTGCTAACACCCCAAGGGAACCAGAATAGCAAACATCTCAAGATTACTCACTCAGTTTATTCATAAAAATACAGTACAAGAGCATGTACTGAGGTTGTTGCAGGGCTCTGAGGTCTTGCAGAACACATGGAGACAAAAAGCAATGATACCCGGGTGATTACCATTAATATTATACCAGCTATAAAACAGGTTGATGAGGCCTGCTTGAACTCAGGTTTTGATAAATTATAACAAACTAATTTCCTTTCTTCCAGAACGTTCATGACAGGGAACGTTGCTTATTTCCTTCTGCATATAAAGTTGCTCAGTTGATATAACACATTTACTTAAGAGTTCAAAGAATATTCACCTTGTTTTAATATAACCTCCTATTGATCTAAACCACAGGTGTTCTACTAACATTTCCATTTGTTCTTGGGAGAAATCAACAGTCTTTCTCTCCTTTTGTTTGGCATTCTTCTTTTCCCAGAGCACAGCTTATTGTGTGAGGCTATGCCTTTTCTATTTTCATTTTATAAAAGCTACTAGGAGCTGTTTTAGTTACCTGACATTTATCTAGACAATGTCTTATTCTCAGCTCAGCTGTTTCTATTTCTGGTGAAACTTGCCTATACTTAATAGACCTTTTCTACCTTAATTAATTGCTTAGTAGCACTGCATTTCAACTCCACTAAGTTGATTGCCATCAATAGTTTTAACTTTACCAGCCTTCAGTTCAGGTTTTGGTGTGATTTGAACAAGCATACAACCTTGTCAAAAATGGATTAATAATGGATAAGTGGTTAATCCAAAAATGGATTAACTGTGTCCTTAAGACTCAGTTATATTCTTAGCAGAGATTCAATTGAAAGCCACTTTTTAAAAAGGTAATACAGGTGACATATAGTACTAAGTTGAGTCTAAAATTAATACAGATAATGACTTCCCTCTACTTATGTGCAACAGAATCTCCTAGAAATATTTAAGCCGTGTACCACTTGTGATTTTTTTTCAGATTGATTTTATTTATTTATTTATTTATTTATTTATTTATTTATTTATTTATTTATTTATTTATTTAAGAAAGAATGTGTACACAAGCAGGAGGAGGGGGAGAGGGAGACAAAAAATCTCAAACCGACTCCACGCTGAGTGCAGAGCCCCACGCAGGACCTTATCTCACGATCCTGAGATCATGACCTGAACCAAAATCAAGAGTCAAGACACTCACCAGACTGAGCCAACCAGCTGTCTGACCTCTTGTGACTTTTAACCCTATATTTGCAACAACACTTGCATCTATTAGATAAAATGTAACAATGGTAGTTACTGAATGCTTAGTTGCATGTATCCAGAGTTTTGGTTTAAAAAAAAAAACACTCTAAAGTTTACTATAAAGTCAAATAAGGGTACTCCTCAATATTTGTGCGAGTGTATGTGCTTTTTGAGTATTAATGGCTAAATTCATACCAGTACAAAGGTAGGGAAAAAAGTGCGAGGCATCTGGGGCAACCAAACTGCATTAGTCTTGTTTATCATACATAACAAATGCCAGATAGAAATCTGAACTTACAAAGTCAACCTATTAACAGTTGATTAATAGATAATTTTCTAAAGCATTTGCTGCTGGGTACTTTTAAATTGTAGACCCTGAAAAGTATTAAAATGCTTGCCACTTTTACTGCCAAAGGCAAGGTACGTGCACCTTTGCCACACTAAAGCTGAGCCGTGGGTATAACAAACGAGTTCTGGGTATGCCTCACAGCCAAGTGTCTTTTATTTCCTTTTTTATCTCTCTGCCACAGGAACTTCTAAACAGATACAGTTGCTGCTAACAGTTTTATCCACATCTCAACCAAATTTGTCTCGGAAACTTGGCATTTAGCCGTGGTTGTAAAGCTGCTGCCACCCCTAGTCACCACTGGGGGTGTGCCTGAGAAGAAGACGACTCACAAATCAAGGAAAGCAGTGCGCCTGAGAGGACCAGAGTTCAGGGTCTCCTGCCCCAGTGTTCTTGCAGCCTGACTTTGCATCCCAAGTTTTCTTCTTCCATTTATTCAGAGTAGAAGCACAAAGAGTAGAGTTTGTGACTTCAAGTTCATTTACATAAGTGCATTGTTCCAACCCACCCATTTGTGACCTGGGCAGGGCTGAATTTCTAATTTCTGTAACCCTAGGTAAGAAAAGATTCAAATGACCCACATAAAGTTAGCAATGAAGGGTTTTAAAAACAACAAACACACACACACAAAACTTGTTCTTCTAAAGTGAAAAGTTTCAGATTATTTTAAAATAAAATGGATTAGCAAAACCATGGCTTCTTTTCCCTACACCGACCCAAGTATAATTATGGATTTTGTTTTTAACCTTTTATTTCCTTTTTTCTCTGACTCTTTAAGCGATTATATTCAGAACTGATGGAATGTTGTGCTCCATTAATAGTTCAAAATAAGGGCACCTGGGTGGCTCATTCGGTTAAGCGACTGCCTTCGGCTCAGGTCATGATCCCACGGTCGAGCCCCACATCGGGCTCCCTGCTCGGCGGGGCAGCCTGCTTCTCCTTCTCCCTCTGCCTGTCGCTCCCCCTGCTTGTGCTCTCTCTCTCTCTGTCAAATAAATAAAATCTTAAAAAAAGAAAGAGTTCAAAAGAGATTTGCTCAAAATTAAAAACTTTTGGGCTTCAAAGATACTATCAAGAAAATGAAAAGTCAACCCACAGACTGGAAGAAAATATTTGCAAATCATATATCCAGTAAGGGATTTGTATCCACAATACATTAAAAATTCTTATGGGTTGATAAATAGAAAACAACCTAATTAAAAAATGGGCAAAAGATTTGAATAGACATTTCTCCAAAAAGATACACAAATCGCTAATAAGCACATGAAAAGACTATCATCATCATCATTGGTCATTAGGGAAATACAAATCAAAACCCCAGTGAGACCAATTTTTCACCCAGTAGAATGGCTATAATAAAAAAGACGGACAGTAACAAGTGTTGGCAAGAATGTGGTGAAATTGGAACTCATACATTGCTGGTGGGAATGTAAACCAATACAGATATTTTGCAAAACAGTTTAGAAGTTTCTTAAGTTAATCAGAGATTTACCATATGACTCAGTAATTCTACTCCTACTCACAAAAATTGAAAACATATATCCATATACAAACTTGTGCACAAATGTTTGTAGCAGCATCAATAACAATATCCAAAAAGTTGAAACAACTCAAGTATCTCTGATGAGATGAATGGATAGTCTATATAATAGAACACTATTCATCAAAGAAGGGATAACACGCTGCAACATGGATGAACCTCTAAATCTCAAACATCTTAGTGAAAGAGCCTGACATAAAAGAGCACATATTCTATCTATATGAAATGCCCCCAAAAGGCAAATATTTAGAGACGAAAAGTAGATTATTGGTTGGATAGGGCTGGGAGCGAAATTGAGGGTGATTGTAAACAGGCACAACGTTTCCTTTTAGGATGGTGACAACATTCTAAAATCAGATTCTATAAATTCACAAGAATTCATTGAATTGTACATTAAAATGAGTGAATTTTATGGTTGATAAATTATATCTCAATAAAGCTGGTGAAAAATATTATTATGAGTTCTAACCCAGATCTTGAGAGAAACTACCACTTACCAGATGGTATTCTTAATTTTGGTGGGCTTCACTTCATTGTACAGGTTTATTAAGACCCAGACTTGTCAGTGTATTTAGAAAAATGCAAGTTTGGTATTTATTTTGTGGAAGTTATCTGGGCATTTGGTTTGGGGAACCAGGAGCAGAACTGGGGTGATAGGGCACATGCTCTTACATGGGCTTGTTATTTGATGATGACTGACAAGATCCAGGAAGATGCCCAAGATGCTCATCTAATTCCACCTTTGAAACTCCAGTTTCTTCCAAGGATTCTCCAATGAATTCCATGGAGAAAGATGCCCTGAACATAACTCCTGACAAAAATATTTCCTGACTGTTGTCAACAAGAAGAGATTGTCTTAAGTTAGAGGATGTATTAAGTAATGTTAAACCTGACAAGATAGGACTCCAATTTCAAGAGCTTTTAATAACATCTTCCTATAGACCTTAAATTTGGTGAAAAACTTGTAAAGTGCCTTCCAGAACAAAGGCAAAGAAGAAAGCTCTTGTTTCTGTATCATTTCCCAGAGAACAAAGACCATGCTAGCGCTAAATAAAGCTAAATGCCTTTGTGTCTGCTTTTACCGCTACACCTGTTTTTTTTCTGGTGGGATAAATAAAGAAATGGAAAGTATGCTCTAACAACCTTCAAGTCTCTGTCCAAACTTATATATGAAGTGTAGAGGTCCAAGTTCCAACCTGTTTGTTATTTTGAGTGAAAAAATTTTCTCTGAACATGTAAAATAGGCACATTAAGAAGCCAAATATACATTAGTTACCTGCTCCCATCCTCCATTCCCCCCCCTCTTTTTTAAAGGATATATTCTGCATGATGGAGGCTAAAAGGGGGCAGCTGTGCCACAGTAGTGGACCCTAAATCGCTGAGCAAAAATGAGAGAGGAGACGCTCTGATTGCTCGCAGTACAGGAGTGAATATGCACTCTCAACCACAAATCAAGCGAACTGAAAAAAAAAAAAAAAGGCCCAATCAAGGCAGTAATGGCCTCCACTTCACAATCAGACAAGTGCTCCTTACTTGAAAAATCCTACCATTTATAGCTGATTGCTAACCCTGGCCTCATTTCTAATCTAAAGGGCGAGTAATAATTTGGAAAAGGAATTATAACAACTTCCCAACAATTTAGCAAATTGTTATTATTTCAGGGGGAGGGGAGGCAGGGAGAAAGGAGTTGCTTTTGTAACGTGTTTCTCTTATGGGCTACCATTTTCATGACATCAAATCCCATTGCTTCCATGCTAGGATAGCAACTAATATATATTGGAAATATATTTTTTTAAATGGTGATGTTTTATGCCATGTTACATATTTTATTTTTTTAAAGATTTTACTTATTTATTTGTGAGAGAGTGACAGAGATTGTGAGAGAGAGCACGAGGAAGAGGGAGAAGCAGGCTCTCCGCTGAGCAAGGAGCCTGACGCGGGGCTCGATCCCGGACCCTGGGATCATGACCTGAGCCAAAGGCAGACACTTAACCAACTGAGCCACCCAGGCACCCCCATATTACATATTTTAATAATGTCAAAATTACGGCTCTCCAAAGAAAAAGGGAAGAAGTGGAGGTGTCAGTTCTTCTGTACACATTTACCTACAATATTCCCAAATACGTTTGAGTGAATGTCCTTGAGCATCACTGTTTTAAAAGGGATTTTGACCTTTTGGAGAATTTGACTTCATAAAAAAATAATACTGTTAAATGCGCCACTGGGTTTTTCCTTCAGTATTGTAGTGTTGGTGGACTTGGTTCAGGTGAGGTTTCTGTTAGTAGAAATATAATAATATATAGAGTCATCTACACTCTTATTTTTGAATTTCTACATTATAATGAAATATATAGAGGGATATCTATCTATCTCTCTATATCTATTTGGCATAGGTACTAGTTTGGAGATTATTTTCTACTGCGCAAAACACACACATATGTGTGTGTATATAATATTCTCTTCACAAAGCAGCTGAGCCTACATGTCATACTTATCTTACGTAATATTGTATGAAAGAGGTTAGGACCATGCTGCTTTCTGCAAAAGAAAATTCATTGATAAGAGTATAGGACAGAGGTTATATTGAATCACAGAGGTAGAAAAGATAGTGGAGACCATCCTATTCAGCCTCTTAATTATTATTTAAATGAGGAAACACGGGCTAGGTAAGGGTAGTAACTTCCTGAAGGTCACACAGCTACTAAATGACAGATTAAATTAAAACGTGGATATCCTTACTCCCATCATCACACCTTTTGCATTAATTATATCCATTCTTCCAAATGGCTTTAAATTATGTGGGGCTTTTTTAGGAACGGGACACGTTAGCCTCCTCTAGTACAGTCATCAGTGATTTTTGTAAGAGAATATGCTTTTATGAGCAATACCACTGTTTCTGCATGTGTCACCACTTTCCATGAACCCTGTAATGAAACTTCTTTGTAGTTTAGAACTCTTTTGCTTTTAGGTATGAGAGGATTAAAATGTCACCTATTGAAAATATGTTTCATTCTTTTTTATTTTCCATATTAAGACCAGTTGCCTACAATAGAGTAGACAATGAGTAGCAGAACCAAGACACAGTATTGTCCTTTCATTTCCCTCTTCAGGTGGGCAACCAACAGAATTCTGTGGGCAGACTGTAGGTCTCTGCCGTTGGAGCTATGCATGAGGCAACTGATGTGTCTGGAAAATCAGGCGGTAATTCTGAATCTAAGTTAGAAAAACTGGAACTCCCTGTCATTTGAATCAATGTAAGCATAATGAACATTTTTTATTATTTATTCATTTTCAGTGGAAAAAATAACTTTCTTTTGGTATTTTTCATATGTTGTCTAGCAAATATTAGGGATAGAAAATATATCTCAAAGGAAATATTTTGATTTTAAATTGAAAATGTTAACTACGCTATGCTTTTTGAAGCATAACAGATTTTAAGCAGATCTAAAAATTGGATTTGGAAAAACAAATATAACTATCTTTATTTATGTGTGTAACTAGAGTAAGAAGGCTAAATTTTTCAGATACCCAGAAATGATTTATAGCTTGCAATTACCCACTCCATTCAATATAAACAGGATCGTAATTCATATTACATAATCTATAGCACATCCTAAAATATATAACGCTACTCTGAAAAAAAAATTTCCTTATGTCATCTCTCATGTCCACCACCATGACCTGAAAGTGATTTTTTAAAAAAGATATAAAGATTTGATATTATTTAGTCCTAGAGACAAAGAGCGAAGTATTTTTAGGAAGGGGCTTGGAATTTAAAAACTTCTAAGAGTGGAAAATCAGATATTATAATGGGAGGTATTCATTTTGTTATGGGAAGGAAAAGCCCTGTTCTAATGGATGCATTTGCTGTACTTCACAGATGTTTGAAAATTAGCAAAAATAAGTAAGACTTTCACTGTGGCTGAGGAGGATCAGAATGTAAGTGCTTAAAGAAAAAGACTAGCAAACCCAAAAGTTGACAAAATTTAAAGTAGTGACCATAGGCAAAATCACAAAATGAAGCACCGTGCCCTCAAAGTAGGCAGGATATTTTAGAAGAATTAACAAAAATGAACTTTAGATAAGAAATTCAAAGCATACTTTTGTTTTATAGTTTTAAAGTAACAGAATCTATTCACAGTCCAACTAGGAGAAAAACTTAGGGATCTAAGCTCAGGAAAATGTTTTTCAAGGATAGCACTCTTCTAGGAAGTGTCATATTCCTAACCTTCTGTTTTATTAAGTAAAACTAATATTGTAGAATATTAACACAAGCTAAAATGACCCCTAGTGTTAGGAAATAGATTCTTTAGGGTGAATCATAAGCACCAAATATTGTCATGAACACAGTAATGTTAGCACACACATTTTGTCACTGCCTGTAATACAATTAGTAACAATTGTGTTGCTTTAGTCAACACAAAAAGACACAAAGTGTGCAATAAAGGAGATCTCTTTCCTTTTGCCCACAAAACAAAAAAGTATCTTATCCTCAGATTCACTCAAGCAGTTTTAGATTTTTGTCATTCAGAAAAGATGTTTTCTCTCATTAGGAAATATATGTTTATAGCTATGAATTAGAGCAGATGTACCTACAAGGAGAAAAAAAGGCAAGATTTTTAAATAAAAATTCTGGTAGCATCATCTAGGACAATGTGTGGAATAATTTCAAGGCAGGCTTCTTGAGTAGTAAAGTTACCTATATATGGGAAATCCTATCCTTTATGGGCTAAATGGAAAAGTACTCAAGTTGTTTAGCTGTGTAAATCATTAGACACATTATAAGGAGACTAAAATGTCTAAGCATTTAAAAGCACTTGTTTCATTAAACCTGCACAAATGAATTTTGTGGTAGCCACTTAACAGTTCATTTTTATATCTTGAAGAGCAAATTTTGGAGGGAAAATGTAACATTAAGGAATACAGTTCCCACAAGGCATCAAAGAAGCACAACATGTACGTAGTAACGGTATCTCTTTCCTAAGAAAAACACAACCGAAAGAGGGTTGTGTTAAGATTCAATAATGAATAACTAAACTCTCCTATGATTTTTGTGTGTTTGTGGCAAAGAAATAAAACTACTAAATACCAGTCAGTGTGGTTTAGAGAAGCAAGCAGGGATTAGTACAAAAATCAACGAAACCCCTGTATTTATTGTAATAAGTGCAAAATGAAACATTATATAAAACATAGGCATATGGTTAAGCGTTTTAGAAACTATTGATTGTAAATGATAGATACTTCTGTTAAAAATAGGTTTTATCTGCACTGTATTATTTATCAATGACAATTAGAAAAAAAACTGAAAGTAAGAGCTAATAAAATACAGATTTACGATATAGATTAAGAAATAAAAATTGTTTAACCTAACATCCAAGCACAATATAATTAATTTCAGAAAAAAATTAATACCACATACATATGCATATTAAAAATACACAAAACCATTTTCAAATATATGTTTTGAATTCGGTGCTGAGCTTAATTGGAAAGCTTTCTTGGAGGAAAAAAACAAGAAACTTCTTCCTATGTGCTTATTGCTACCACAGTAATTATCTACAAAGAATATGCCATGATGATAAACTTCATTATTCAATAACATTAGTAAACATTAAAATATTTAAAGAATATTGTACTGCATTATGGTTTATTCTATTTAAATCTCACAATTATAGCAGCCTTTTCTTCTTGTATTTCCCTATGGGATGAATTGCTAGGATTTGATAATCTGCTGCTAATGTAAACTGATATTACAGTCATATGACCTAATTAAACATCAGGATTCATATTTAAAATATATAATTGCCAGAGTGTCATTTTTAAAAATGTAATTACTAGTTTCTACTTTAATAGCAAAAATTGATGTGCATGTCAACAGACTATGGAAAGTTTTCTGGAAAATGTTTTTCTTCTCTGATTGTAAAGAAACAATGAAAAATATCAGTGTTGAAACCCATCATTAATATTTTTTTCATGGAATAAATTCCCTTGTCTTTCAATTTTCAAGGGAAAATTTCGGCTTTCAGAAGTATATTACATGTCATTTCTTATTGTCACTTGGAATCCATTCATCTTTCTTTATAGGAACATATTTTCATTTTTGGTGTTTAAGAAATCCATGCACAACACTAGCATGATAGGTAAGTGAAGAAACAAACTTCCATTATTTTAAAACAAAAGAGACTCAGATTTGGGGCTTTGGGGAGGAATTTTTCATTTCTGAATTGCACAAAATCATTTATAATTACCTCTTAGTGATTTCAATATCACAAATCCCTTCTGATTAGCCCTCTTTAAAAAAGAGACGAACTCGCTTGAGAATTGTTTGGCCCTGTTGGAAGCCCTGTCTTAGAGAAGGACAGATTATGTAATTAA